GCAGGGATTTAGCTGTTGGCCCGTGCTGGGGAGCAGCAGGGGGCTGCTGAGCACCAGCCAGGGGTAAATCCTGGGGTAAACCCCAGGAAAGGGGAGGTGCAGCAGCTATTCCTCATCAGAAACTTCCCTCAATCCCCCATTGCTAAAGGCAGCAGATGCTGCCCAAGCCCTTTAACTCTGCTCAAAGTCCCCACAAGCATCTGACAGGAGCTGTGGCTCCCTGAGGGCCACAGGGATTTGGGATGGGTTTAACCCACAGGGGTAAAGCCCCCACTGTGCACACACCAACCTCATGTCCAGGCATCCCCTGGCAGAGCATCCCCCTGCCCTCCCCGCTCATACCCCTCCCCTGGGTGTGCAGCCTCATGGGAGTTTGCACCCCCCCATCCTCTTTTTAGCACCCCCAGCACTCAATTGAACAAGTGATTTGCTGAATTGGGGGTCCCCTGTGCCAGCCCCTGAGCCCCAGTGCAAGGCTGGGTCCCACTTGATGGATTTTCCTCAGCTGGGGAGATTGGCTGGAAAAAGGGCCAAATCCATCACTGTCCAGGCGCTAAATTTAGCTGGATACGCAGAAGGCAGGGGCTGTACCAGGAACTGGGGGGGCCTTGAGGGGCCCTGCCTGCCTTCTGCTCTCTCTGCCATAGCAGAGTGCAAAGGGGAAAGAGGGGTCAAAGAACTGGGTGAAAGGGGGTCCTGCAGGGCCAGGTGGGACCCCAACACCCTCCCCAACCATCACACCGCACCGTTTTGCATCAGCCCTGTCCCTGCTGCTCCCCAAACCTGCCTCATCCCTGGGCTTTGAGCATCCTGGATGGTCCAAAATCTCCTTTCCAGATTCTCTGGAGACACTCCTTGGGCAGCTCTGGGGGAGCCACGCAGACCCTCAAGGGCTGGATAGCCCAGTCCCAGGCTCTGAGCATCCCAGGGATCCTGGGGAGTGCCAGGCATGGGATACAGGCAGGATCCCTTGTGGTGGTGAAATGCGACGGGTGAAAGGCAACAGCTCTGGCTACTGTGGTTGGGCTGGGACACCCCCCCCACCCCACCCCACAAAAAAAGCCTCTCTTGACCGATGTGACACCCACCTTTCTCCTGTCCCCCTGCAGATGTGCACCCCCAGCAACACGCCCGCCACGCCGCCCAACTTCCCGGACGCGCTGGCCATGTTCTCCAAGCTGCGCACCTCGGAGAGCCTGCAGAGCAGCAACAGCCCCATCACCTCCATGGCCTGCTCCCCGCCGGGCAGCTTCAGCCCCTTCTGGGCCTCCTCGCCCCCCAGCCACCAGCCCGCCTGGCTGCCCCCGTCCTCGCCCACCACCCACGGCCTCCACCACCACCTGCACCACCCGCAGCCCTCCTGGCCCCCCGCGCCCCCGCCCGCAGCCCCCCCACAGAAAGCCGTGGCCACCATGGACAGCCAGAGATAAGACTGGGGCTGGAGGAGGGTTGGGGGGTGGGTTGAGGGAAGGGAAGGGGAGGGGCTTCTGGGCCGGGGCGTTGGGAGCGGGGGCTCCCCAAGAAACGCACTGGAATAATTTTCTAGGTTTTATTATTATTTTTAAGGGGGAGTGGGGATGGATGGATGGATGGAGCACGTGCTGCCGGGGAGGGCACCAACCCCTGAGTGCCTCTGCAAGAGTCGCTGGCTGGTCTTTTCTCCTCCCCTTGCCCCCCCCTTGTTTTTTTTAAAATATATAACTATAATATATAAATATATCTAATGTATATAAATCCAGAGAGAAGGAGCAGCAGCGTGGAGGCAGCTGCTGGGTGTCTGGGGGGTTGGTTTCCCTATGGCTCTACCCCCACCCAACATCCCTACATCAGGGCAGGAGAGGGAAGTGGGGGGGTGGGACAGGAATAACAAAAATGAATGGATGGAGGTGGCTGTCAGCACCCCAGATCATGGCCATGGGGGCACAGAGCCACTGGACACCCCTCTCCCCCCAGCTCTGGATTTCCTGGACGCTTGACACAGTGCCCAGAGCAAACCAACCTCTCCTCTGGCTTCTGAAATTCAGCCCAGCTTCTTGCACAGACACCCCCCTCGACTTCCCCCCAACCCCATCCTCCCTTCCCTCCCTCAGCACCCTCAGGGCCTGGGGGATTATCAAGGTGATGCTCCTCTCATCCCTGCAACTGCCATACATGGCCCTTCCCCAGGGAGAGTTGGGGGGTTGGGAGGGGTTTTTTTAGTTTTCAAATCAATCTTGCTTAAAAAAAAAAAAAAAAAAAAAAAAAAAAAAAAAGGAAAAAAAAAAAGAAGAAAAAACCAGCAAAAAAACAGGTTGAAGGTTTTTTATTAATTTAAAAATAATAAAAAAACCCAAAAAAACCACAAAAACAAAATCACTTTTTTAACAGTAACTGTCCCTGCCTTTTCTCTCTCCTGGGAGGATGTCCCTGGCTGGGCACTGAGAATGGGGGTGACCCCCCCCACACGCTACAGTGTCACCAGTGGGGACTGGCCCTCCCCAGGAGCTGCTCTGAGTGTCCCCCACTGCAGAAGGGCCACCAGCCCAAGGCCACTGTGCTCCTGCAACAACTACCTGGGGTAGAAACCCCCAAAATGGGAACACAGCAGATCTGGAGATGCCAGGAAAGGCTGGACGGCTCAAAGCACAGTGGCAAAGCAACCCCCAGGGATGGAGAGACCCCCAGCATGGCACAACCTCCAAGGAGAAAAGGCAAAAATCCCCCATTGGGGGCTACTCACGTGCAGCAGAGAGCATCCAGGGAGGGATGTGAGGCCGGGGTGTGTTTAGGGGGGGTGCAGGGGGTGTTAACAGGGTGCAGCTGGGTCCCAGGGGCTGCAAGTGGGGCAGGGTGTGGGAGAGGTGCTGAGCCGGAGGGATAATGAGTATCAAAGGGGTCACCCCAGCTAGGCCACATCCTGCAAATGCAATTAGTCCCCGGGGTGTTTTTCAGCCCCTCAGCCCCACCCAGGGGTGCAGGATGGTTCTTTGACGGCTCTGCTCTGGGGCCTGGTGGTTTGCTCAGAGTGCTCCCAGTTACTCTACTGGAGGTGGTACTGGGGGGGACCCCAGATCCTGCTGTATCCACCTCAAAACCACCATGGTTTTGAGCACCCATTTTTTTTTTCCCCCCTGAAGAAGCAAACCCACCAAGGAAAACATTCGGGGGGGGGGCTCCCTATGGACTAAGGTGCCTGTGGAGCACAGTAGGGTGGACAGGGATGGAGTCTGTCCCTGTGGTGGAAGGTTTGTGGGCTTCCCCCTGCAGTTTGGGGAGAAGATTCGCCAGGAGAGCAAGGTTGCCATGGGGCAGCCCCCGGGGACACACCACGGGGGTTGAGGGGATGTTCCCACGAGCTCTGGGGTTTCCCTCCGTGTTTCTCACCCTCCCACTCGTCTGAGAGGTGCCATCGGCTTTGTGTTCCCCCCCACACACACGTGTGCAGGGGGGACAACCCTGGCCACGTGTCCCCAGCCGAGAGACCGCCCGGTGATGCTCATGCTCATCCCATGGGATAACCGACAGCAAACCAGCGGGCTTGGGGTGGAATTCGCTTTTGGCATTAACCTGTGTCCTGCTGCTGCTGTTCCCACTGAGGCCCCCCTTTCCCACTGCCTCCCTGGAGGCAAAGGAACATCCTCGTTCTGCTGCACCACCCGGCACCCCCAGACCTCCTTTGGGGCCAAACGCTCCCCTGGCAGGGGTCAGGGGGTGCACGGGGCTAACAAAGACCCTGGGAGGTGCTGTTTCCAGCTCCTCCTTGTTCAAGAGGGGAAGATCATGATCCAAGGTCACTCCACTCAGGAAGCACAGGTGCTTGGCTGCTCGTAGCCCTTTACTGCAGATTGGAGTAGCTTGCTCCTTCCATCCAAGACCCCCTAGGAGGCTTGCACTGCCGGCCCCGGTAGACGATTCCATCCCTGCCCACCAGGTCAAACACGCCGGGCTGGGAAGGAGAGAGGGGGATGGCTGGAACTCGGGGCTGCATTCAGCATCCCCAAGCCAGCCTCCCTACCCAGCTCTTCCGAGGGGAACCGAGGCACGGATACCCCCCGGGGATGCTCAGCATCACCCTCCCAGCCTCGTCTGCCGCAGCCTGTATCCCCACCCTCATCATCCCTACCTTGCTGGGGTCCGGGAGGAGGGGCTCCATGGGCTGCACTGGGCAGATGCTGGTGTGCCGGCCCCCACAGTACATGGGGGATCTGCGGGAATAGCCCTCTGCCTGCTCCCTGGGGGATGGAGCACAGGGATGCTCAGTGCTCAGCACAGGGCACCCCATGTTTCACCCTGCTGTGCCAGGTTGGGGGGCAGGGGATGCTCCCCTCCAGCTGCTGCAGGAGACCCGTGCCCGTCCCGCCCTGCAGGGATCTGCCCTGTCCCCCACAGCCCCGGAGGGCTGGCCGTGGCCATGGCAGGACCCTGTGCCCTCAGGAGGCAGGAGCTGGGCTGTCCCAGCTGCAGGGCTTGGCTTGGGGAGCTCCTTCACAGGAGCCACCCGAGTCCCCGCCAAGCCCGAGCTCAGGCAGAGACCAGGCACAACTCATCACATGTGGCTTCGGTGCCATCGAGACAGAGACCTGGGCTAGGACAGGGTGGGGCTGTAAAACCTTCTGAGCCGGGGCAAGCCCAGCTGACCCTCCACAGCCCTCCCCTCCTCCCGGCACCCCCGG